CAATTATCTTTTATATTAGTTATCCGTGGAAATTTTTAATGTTTATTCATTTCATCATCACGTGTATTTGTTATTATTTTATGAGCAAAACATCTATTAGATTGATGTGTCGTATTTTTTTCATGGCATCGTCCTGATAAACAATCGTTTAGGTCAAGTTTTTGTTTTTGCTTTATAAGTATCTGTAAGTTATAAGTTTTAAATAATCGGTACTGGGTTCTGTAGTCAAGTCACCTTAAAATAAAAATTCAATGGAAGTAGTTTTTTATAGGTACGTTTAATAAAAAAGGTCACTCTTCAAAGATACAAATACCGAACAGCTTTATAGAATAGAATAGAATTTTATTCATAAACATGTGTTACAGTATACCTTGGTTGGCAATAAACATATTAGTATTATTAATTTTGTAGTATCTCCAGATTTCTTGCTGCACAATTGTTCTGTCGTATTGGATATGTTCAATGTAACAACAACATGTTAGTGAATATTATGCATAATTATTTCTTTTTATACTTTTATAATTTTGTTAAGAATGCACACTCATGTCATTATTGTCACAAATGCATGCCGTGGCAGCCTATAATTAAGATACCACAAGAATTGTCACTTATACACTATTGTTATACTATACTATGTGTGGATATTCTTGTTGGTTGTCCTTAAATAAATAAATAAATAAAACATACCTTCTTAAGCTATTTTTAACTAGTACTAGTTTTCTAAGAAAGCATAAGTTTAAATCTAAAGAAAACAAAATAAAAAATGGTTTTTTCCGTGTTTCTCCAGACTTAAAACATACAGCGGTTAAATGCCCAATTGATAATCAGTAATAGTTACAATATTGAGCTACCCCTTACATATTATGTAATTCCACGCACACACACACTCACGTTGTAAAATGTTAACTGTATGGAATAAAGCACTTATCGTGATTATGCTCAATATTAACAGTAAATAATTAAAAGAAAAGCTGCTTACTTAATACTCATAGAAAATTATTTTATGTGTGGGTAGGTATACGAGACAAACAATTGTGCAAAATAATTATCTTGTAAATTTCACTTATATAACAGGTTTTAACCAAGAAAATTGACAAAATTGGAAAAGTTAACCAATGGTGTCGATTCTGGCAGGATTCTCTAAACTTAAAACTAAATTTAACATCAGTCTGTCCTTTTCATTCTGTATAGAGAATGACAAAGATACGAATCGACATCAATATAAAATTAAATATTTTTTAATAACATTAATTAAAAATGTAAAGCGACATGCTAAAGATGACCGAAAAAAAATAGTGTGCACGGAGAACACATCTGAAGTGAAACTTCTTTTCTTAAATAACTTAAGATTAGGCATAAGGCATAAGGTCGTGTGAGGCGGGTCGTTGAGTTCCCGAAAATATGGTTGAGCGAAGCGATGGCTGGTTCATGCGTCATGCTCGTGAACGGGTGCTGCCAGCGGAGATGAGTCTGCTCTATACTACCTTATTGTTATTATTATTTTTTCTCTGATAAAGATTTAATGGCGGTGTGGAGTCTGTTATGGTTTTCTAGACCTGCACTTGGTTTTGCAGCGGTGCATCCTTCTCATTCTTAATACAGACTGAAAGGGGGGACTGATGTTGGATTTGGTTTTGGGTTGGGAGAGTAGTGCTGGCACTACTGCGAGGCGGGTCGTTGCGTTCCCTAAAAAATGGTTGAGCGAAGCGATGGCTGGTTCATGCGTCATGCTCGTGAACGGGTGCTGCCAGCAGAGATGAGTCTGCTCTTGCTTCATTGGATACTATTAATCGTTGTACTAAACTTATAATCGCTATTTTTTTTTGCCTAAACAGTAGGACACCGCATTCCTTAACTTTGTTAAACCAGTTTTTTATATAGTCATAATTTATATATATTTATTTGCATTGTAATGGAAATTGACTTTATGAGTTACCTCATATTGAAGTCATTTTTCAATTTGACGACTCTGTATATAATACAGGGAGAAAAAAACAGTCCTTGCTGAGTTTCTTGCCGGTTCTTCTCAGTGCAAGGTCTTCCGCCGTAGATTTGCGAACCGATGGCGTAGCTTTTCGACATTCACAAGTGCTTGAAACAGCCTAGACTGAATAAACGATATTGAATTTTGAATTTTTTTTGAAGGGAATGGAGCAGCGTACGCATCACTCATACATATGTACACATATATATATATATATATATATATATTGTCGCATGTTACATTCGTGATGCTAGTAGCGTTTCAGTTTTCGCCGAGTTACCCTTCAACTTGTATGTTCGTCGGGAAGAGCCGCGCACGCATCCCACACACACACATACACACACATGTATATAGTCGTGTGAGGCTAAGGACGCATTTCCGTTTCATGCTCGTGAAGCATTTCCGTTTCATCTTTTCCATAGGATTTTTCCATTTACACCACGTCGAAAAACAAGTATCACAAGTAATGTTTTTTTCTCCTCTTCTTTCTGCGTATCCGAAGGCAAAGAGCTAAGCCCACACTGCCTCAAAGTTTTTTTTTTGTTTTTGTTGTGGACTTTACATTCTTGGAATGATTGTTTTTGCTTTTTGTTTTTGTAAAGTATTAATATTATTATAATAATAACTTCTATTATTTGTGTATTCAATGATTGTCTTGTGTCTCCGTCAGTTGATGTCCACATTAGGTTCCTCCAGAATATCAGCGTTGCAGCGGCAATCCATTTTTGCCGTTGCAACATTATGCTGAGGTGGGGCCTAGTTGACGACGGACCTTTGTTTTAAGTTTTATGTTTTATGTGTATTTATTGTAATTTAATGACGTCGTTAATAAATGTTTTTCTTTCTTTCTTTCAAAAAGAAGTTTCGCTTCAAAAATTGAGGCGATGTAATTAAAGTTTCACTTTAATAAAAAAGCAAACGTAAGTCTCGTGATTATTCAGTGGTACGCCATGAAATAAATGACGGTTGTGAGGTACATCCGGACTTTAACGGCCACGGTCACCACTTGTGACCGAAGAGTCCGTACTGCCCGAAAAGGTACTTCGTTCCAATAAAATCTAGATAAACTCAAGCCAATCATAAATAAAATCAGTTCCGGGGGTAAATCAGCCATACTGGGGGGGTAACAAAGTACCTAATTATTTGGTCAAATCTAAATAATACTACTAAATATAGCATGCGCTCCTTCTTGCTAGTGAGCCCGCGGGGTGCTGAGTGTGGGAAGCGGGGCGAGATTCTCTCCTGATAATGACATTAGTAGGGACGAAGATGTAGCGGCCAAATTGGAATTTCTTGGACTGATGATAACATTTTAAAGTCGGGGTAAATCTGTTTCCCTAATAGGTTACAGGGGTAGCGGTATTGAAAGGTTAGGAAACACTGCCCTATATGCTCTCCTCAAGATATTTATTGAGTGAGTACCTAATTTAGTTAAGTATCTCAACTCGAATAATTTTAGTAATATTATATATTGTATGACGAGTAATAATAGTAATATACAGGGTTACAGGGAAAGTCGTACTGAATATTGAAGAACGTTATTATTCAGGTCATTTCTGATGGATTTGGTCCTATAATATGGTGTCCGAAACTTAACCGTTATGGAGATATTGGATATTAAAGATTTCTTTAAAAAATCCTATATTTTTTGGGTATTTGTCGATTTTTTGAAATTAGAGCTCCAAAGGTCCGATTTTTTAATGTATCTAGTTAGAAAACATGTCAGGCAATAAAAATAATGAATAAAAACTGAACCTACTTCTAACGGCTTAAAAAAACTGCTCGACAACGGTTATAACTAAAGAATTTTCACCATGTGTTCTTAACTTTGAAGCGCTTTTCTAAAAAAAATGTATGGAACTTATTCTGCAAATAATTTTAAAAACTTCTACGTCTCTTTAGCTATTCAAAAAGGTATAACACTTGCTATTAAATTGGCAAAACATTGACCAAATAACAGTTATGGTAGCAGAGGGTACATTTTTAGTTTGAGGTAACAATAGCAAAAATACGTAAATAAAACCAGAAAAGCATAGTAAATATTTTTATAATTCATGTTCAACATGGCCGCCGCTATTTCTAGTACAATATATTCTCAATCTTTTTCTTAAATTACTTTTTACTACAGAAGTTTTTAAGTTCCGCCTCATATCCTCAGCCGAATCAATAATCCTTTGTCGCAAAATATCGATATTTGCGATCGGCATCATCTGGTCGTATACAAGGCTTTTCATATGACCCCACACATAATAATTTAATTTAAGAAAAAGAATGAGAATATGTGTTAGAAATAGCGGCGGCCATGTTGAACATGAATTTTAAAAATATTTACTAAGCTTTTTTGGTTTTATTTACGTATTTTTGCTATTTTTACCTCAAACTAAAAATGTACCCTCTGCTACCATAACTGTTATTTGGTCAATGTTTTGCCAATTTAATAGCAAGTGTTATACCTTTTTGAATAGCTAAAGAGACGTAGAAGTTTTTAAAATTATTTGCAGAATAAGTTCCATACATTTTTTTTTTAGAATAGCGCTTCAAAGTTAAGAACACTTGGTGAAAATTCTTTAGTTATAACCGTTGTCGAGCAGTTTTTTTAAGCCGTTAGAAGTAGGTTCAGTTTTTATTCATTATTTTTATTGCTTGACATGTCTTCTAACTAGATACATTAAAAAACGGATCTTTGGAGCTCTAATTTCAAAAAAATCGACAAAAACCCAGAAAATATAGGATTTTTTTAAAAAATCTTACATATCCAATATCTCTATAACGGTTATGTTTCGGACACCATATTATAGGATCAAATCTATCAGAAATGACCTGAATAATAACGTCCTTCAATATTCAGTACGACTTTCCCTGTAACCCTGTATATGTGATCACAATTCCAGGAACCATCAATTACACTTGAACCCTAATTACGAAACAAATATCACAGACAAACAACCACTTTATCGGAATTTACAATTTCGTCTTACTCGACTCAGTATAACGCAAGACGCGACACACAGTAGACATGTACCGTTTACTCATCTCTTTGGTTATTCTACAAACTGTGGCGGGTGGGAAATGGTGCGAACGCCATCCCAACGTCTGCTCCCACAAACATCACGATTACCATAAAGTTCATGATAAAGATGGCAATTTCCACGAACTATCCTGGGACCTCGTCAACTTGTCCAGGAAAGCGCAGAGGATGTGCGATAAAGAAGTCACCATTACCGAAGTTTACGGAATGGATTACTATCTGCTGTCTGCTTCTTTACCTAACTTCAGCTCGGAAGATATTACTGTGAAAGCGAAGCACCGCGTGCTCTTCATTCAAGCTTATAAGGAGAACAGTACCGAAAAAGTTACGTCGCTATTGAAAGTTCTACCGGATTTTTTAAAAATGAAGGAAGGTATTTGGAACTTTGTTGATGGTCACCTAGAAGTGAACATACCTTATACCGTAAATATTGGCGCTGAGATTACACAGAAATGTGAAACTAACATTGACGAATCCATCATCACTATGAATAAACAGGAAATTGATATGAGATTTGGCGCGGTCACAGAGGTTGCTTTTTAAAAACATTGTGTGAATAATTAATCAATAGTCAACTGTAATGGGATGAGAAACAGACTGAATCTTTGTTCATCTTGTTATTACCGTTAAAACTGTGATATCTACCAAGTACAATTAATAGCAACCGACAAGTTAAATGATAAAACGTTTGCATTACGTGTCTACTTCGAGTTTGTATACTTGTACATACAGAATTAAAAATATGTTAAAAGAAAAGTCTTTTTACTTTATTTCTTTAGTTTCATTAAAGGAAAGGAGAGATATTTTCAAGATTTTGTAATCAAATTTCTTTTGGTGAACACGTAACATGAATACACGATTTTTATTGATTGATTTTTAATAAGTTTATAATTTGGTAAAATAAATTTTGTATAAGCACTGGCACTTTATATTTATAATATTTTAATGTCAGAAGAAGTACATGAATAGAAATGTAATATGTTTTATTAAAAACTTTAACACAAACAAATGCTCGCATATATATTCATTCGAATCAGAAAACAGAATTCAAGCGCAATAAACTTATAGCTCATCCGGTTACCGACAAAAGGCTAAGTTTTGAAATTTAAATAAATATAATAAACTTTAAATACATCCCCTTTATCTTTTGATGTTCGTCTCATATTTGTTTAAAGAGATATATCGTCAGCATATATGTGAGCCTTAAATTATACAAAATAATACGGTTGCATAGTCAAACACAACTATTGCAACTCCGCGAAAGCGAGATGATGTGAGATGTCTATTGTGTCGCAGCCACATCATACAGTAACTACGGGCATAACATTGGCCCTACCTTGGAAAATATATCAAATTACATAAACCTAGTTATTTGAAAAAGATTCTCAAATATGAGATAAGTCATAATTTCTAAGCATATAACTGTTCGATGTTTCAATCGGAACCGCTGTAGCATAATGGTCAGTGCATTCGCCCCGATTAGCGAAGGGTGCGGGTTTGGGTCCCGTCTTCTGCTATTTTTTTCTAGTATTATTTTCTTTAGATTTAAACATGCTTAAAAAATTAAAATTTTAACTATAATTGCTATTTCTTCTTTCAAATGTTTAATACTTGTAAAGGTATTTGACATTGTGGGTTACCTACAATGTGAAGGGTCTTGTAGCTTAAGAAAGGCTAGAAAGAATTCCGACACGGCCATCAGGGCCGCAGTAGCATAATGGTCAGGGCATTCGCCCGGATAGCGAAGGGTGCGGGTTCGATTCCTGTCTAATGCCTGGTCCGCGCGGATTTTTTTTCTTGTATTATTTTCTTTATGAGATAAGTTGTTATATGAAATTCCTAGCGGCCCGCCCTCGCTTCGCTTCGGTGTAGAGCTGAAGTGTAGACTACAGTTTTTGTTCTCAGGCTTGTATTATACACAATAACATTCATATATGATTCTTCTTATACCTGCATGCAAAGTTTCAGCCTAATCGGTTTAAAATTGACAAAGTTTCATACAAACTATCATTCCCAATAGGGAATAAAATATTATCCCCTTGGGGGTAATATATATAAAACTCAGAGGCTGACATAGTGATCTATCAACGCACAGCCCAAACCACTGGACGGATCGGGCTGAAATTTGGCATGCAGGTAGAAGTTATGACGTAGGCATCCGCTAAGAAAGGATTTTGATCAATTCTACCCCCAAGGGGATAAAATAGGAAATGAAACTTTGAATGAAACTTTGTCAATTTTAAACCGATCAGGCTGAGACTTTGCATGCAGGTATAAGAAGAATCATAGATGATGTCATTGTGTATAATAATACAAGCCTGAAAACAAAAACTGTAGTCTACACTTCAGCTCTACACAGAAGCGAAGCGAGGGCGGGCCGCTAGTGTAGAATAAAATAAATTAATGAATTATTATAATAGAATTATTAAAGCATCTCCTTCTGTTTTGATTCATTGCTTTCCAATCACGCGCCGCCGTAATGATCGGATTCCTACTTCGACTTGTGAGCAAAAGGTAGGGGCTAGTAAACAATCGAAATTCTCTGGTAGCAGCTGGACCAACACGGTTATCTGTCCAGCATAAACGCAAACAAGCACAAATATATGTATTACGGCTCGCTTATCAACTTCACAGACAAGCAACCTATCCATGTTTAAACAATCATTAAGTTCATAATATGAAAAGTTATAATATGGAGATGGATGATATAGAAGGAAATACTTTATTATTTTACTTTATGATTTTTTAAATACGAATTTAGTTATTCATATTTACTAAGAAACATATATTTTAAGTAAGTAAAGCTACTTTCGCAATGGTGGCTCATTGGATGGGTGACCATTCTGCCATTGTTAGCACCCACCAATCCGCAGACCACTGGGGCTATTGTCACTATGAACCGCGTGGTGGTTAATGGTTCAATATCCCTATTCCATCCATAGGGAAGGCCTGTGCCCCAGTAGTGGCGACATTAATCGGCTGATGATGATGATGTATTTGTAACACAGAAATAAACAAAAGCGGTTGTTAAAAAAAATTAATACAAATAGGTAGATCGCCCTAATCACTTGGGAGTATGAAAAATAGTTTACGTCCTATTTTATCAGACCTACTAATATACTCACAAAATTTCATAAAAAATATTCATTCAAGCCGTTTCGAATGAGTTTTGTTACAAACACTGTGACACAAAATTTCATATACATATTTCATTAAACTAACTTTGTTCATTGACATGATTGACATGACTGACTACCTAATTTACAAAATATTACCGAAATGTTACTAGCTTCTTTGCAATATTCAAAACGTTAAATATTAATAAAACGAGTAATTAGTTTTAATAAATATTTTTTTATTATACAATAATTACGAAAAATACATTACGAACTAGTCATTACCTACTTATAGTGTACAGGCACAAACTCAACTTCATCCTTCAAATCGATAGCATATGTAGTCGCCTCGATGCCTCTTTGTATCTCATTCGTCCTAATCGCATGATCTTTTTCGACGTTGTGGCTAACTCCAACATCCGCATCCTGGTTGTCATTTTCATACGAGTTCCCATTACCCATTTCTTCGCGATCTCCGAGCCCTCTCGTAACTGCTTCCATCATCTCGGGAGTGGTTGAAGGAGCTTCGGTTGTTGTGCTAACACCCTTAATAGGGAAAACAATAGTGACAACTCCATCTTCAAACGTCCAAACTCCAGACACATCCACATTAGCTGGTAGAGTGCGTATGTCGATATAGTTGTTATGCGACCCCTCATCACTTTTGTGGACTGCTTGAACCATAAGTACACCCTCACGAGCTTTCACTATAACGTCCTTTTCTTCGAAACCTGGTAGAGCTATTACGACTTTGTACTCGTGGCCTACCACACCTGCCGAGGAGGTGGATTTCGGGAAATGACGATGGAAATCTTGTAACATCGAGTCCATTTGCCGGAGTTGCAACTCCAAGTCGAGCCAGAAGCGGTGCGTGTCGAACATTTCCTCGCCGAAGTAGGGGTTGACGTCGAAATCATTGTGGAAATCTTGAGAGAATGGGGAATGCCTGTGATGGTTGAACTGAGGTGCCGCGCTGGCCGCAGCCAAGAAACTGAGTACTAGTAGCTTGATCATGTTCCGCGAATAGTTTATTCCTTACTGGCGCGAGAGTCTGGGAGAAACAACTTATATATAGACAGCCAGGGTTACAAGGGTATCGTTCTTATCGGTAAATTCTAGAGTATACTCGTACCGCAGTCATAAGTGTTTGGCGTTTCTGTCATTTCTAAGAATGCTCCCACTAGCAACTGAGAATATGTTTCTTTGTGGTCGTTTTATTTACGACGCAGGTTTCAATTTTGCTTGAATACGGTTGCAATTGATTTTAGGTACCTATTAATAATGTGGACAGTCCCGTCTGATGTTAACATAAACAATAATTTAAATAAATATTAATGTAAATTGCGATAAATTGATGTACGGTTGATTTACTGTTTTGCTTTCTTATCTAAAAACACAACAACAACAACTTATATATGTAAGAGTATGTCCAAGAGAGTAAAATATTTTATATTTTGACATAGTTTCTGCAACATTACAAAGAAAAATTATTTACAACCATGATTTAAATACGACCAAGGCAATTATTATAGAAAGATTCTCGGTGATTGATCTAGTCTTGAGCATAGTTAGAAAGGGATGTCGCTATATATAGCACATAGCAGCATACCTTTCTAACTGTACTCAAGTAAAGATCAACACTTAGTTGTTATTCTGTAATACAGGCCTTAGTGTTTTAATTATTCAAACGCAATTCCGCAATATTATGATGTGTGTAAATATGGTGTCACCACAATGATATCGCGTTGTTTGATTGAGAGTGAATATAAAATTTTAATTTATACAAATTGTTATATCAGCTGTGACACATCTGATTTTGATGACACACAAAACACCAGAAATTCATTGTAGTTTCTATACATATTCATCATCATCATCATTATCATCATCAACCCATGTTCGTCCACTGCTGGACATAGGTCTCCCCTAATGCACGCCACTGCTCCCGATTTTGTGCTACTCTCATCCAGCCCACTCCAGCCAGCCTACGAATATCATCATCCCATCTTGTCTCAGGGCTATATACCTATTAGACTTTAATAATACCCTTTGTGATTTTCCCATCTTCTTCTTAGGCACCTCGCGCACTAGACGATTGCCCGTGGCCGCAGAAGATATATATGTGGGCTGCGGCCAACATCACGACGAGCCGTAAAGAGGTCACAGTGTTGGTAGTTTCCATATTTAATAAATAAATAACCCTGTTTCTTATCTCGTTGTAGAAAAAACTTAATTATTAAAAAAAATACAAAAAACCCGACTACAAAAATATTACTGCAAACTAAAAATATAACGGAAAAGTAAAAAAAACAAGCTCCGCTTTTCTTTTATTACTTTTTTTCAGTTCATTCGCCCAATTTCAATTGGTCAGTGCATTCGCCCGGATTGCGAAGGGTGCGGGTTCGAGTCCCGTCTGCTGCCTGGTCCGCGTGGAATTTTTTCTACTTATATTTTCTTTAGATTTAAATAATAAAAATTATAACTACTTTTTTTAGCTTTCATACTGTTTTACTTTTTTTAGCTCTTCGTAAGTAGGCACCCCCTTTTCCCCTTTAAAAGTATTTCAGGCGGTAACAAGCTATCTCAAGCGAGTGGTTGTTTTACAAAATAGCTGCCAACTATTGTAATGTGTCCAATTGCCAACTCCACCACTAACAAAAATTAATAACGGATCTCAGTTCGTCGAATTTAATATTTTTGAAATATTATTTGAAACTACTGAAGCTGGTTCAAATTTAGCGATACAAAAGCTGTGTCGAATGGACAATAATATCTGGTATTCCAACTTAATTCTCTTCTAATTATTCAATTAAAACTTGACCGACATCCCCTAGATGACAATGATAGGCTAGTGAAGAGAATTTTCTTCTTCATTTGGTCTCTCTGGAACTCCTTTTGCTAAGTTTTCAGTCACGAGACGGCTACCCACTATTTGTATATCGGTCGATCCCTTTTTGCCCAGAAAGCTTCTTTGGCGGAGTGATATCCATCTTACAGTTCTTCTTCAGACCGGAATGTTCCGTGAGTTACTATCAACGAATAATAGTATGCTTCTGGATCTGAAGATCCTTTAAAAGAGGCGTGAAGAAGCAACATGCAGGCCGGCAGGGTGAGGATGGCTGGTGTAGCAGGTAGAACTGCTGTATCAGCTATCTTCGCGTCTGGACTTCACCTTCACTTAACATCAGGTGGGGTGGAGTCATTTGTCGGACCTATCTTTAAAAAAAAAAAAGATAATGTAAAATACGAAGTACCTATATCTGAACGTCAGCGCCTTCTTATCCTACCGTTGTTGTCTAACAAGCATAAGTATTGTCCAGTAATTTCGTTTTCATTATGATTTTCAAAAGACCCCACGACAACGGCTAACTATGACCGAGGTCCGAGTCTCAGAGACGCCGTCTATTTGAGCCGTCCCCCTCAGGTCCGAGTGGTCTAGAGGCTCCAGACGGAGAGGAGACATACCATCCGCCTGGAATACCTCTAGAGGCACTCGCCAATTCATGTCCCCTTAGGATCTCGCCGTCACCAAACTTGGTGACTCTGTAAAGGTCATCTACGAGCAACAGCATTCGCACTAAGAAAAAAAAGAAGAAAAGATTTTGACATGAAGACTGTTTTCCTTAGACTGTACTGTTTGTAAACGATATTAGGCGTAAAATCCTTTTGGGCACTGGAATGCACAGCACAAGTCTGATCCTATTTCTGTAGGGTCCCCTCATGTTCATTAGTGCGCGCATTGTACTTGATCATTATTTTGTTAAAAAAAAGTATGATATCTTCTAAGATACTTATTGAAATCAAATTATTTCCAGAGCAATTGTGTTAAAAAATACTATAGTTTTTTTTTATATACTCGTGTTCATGTTTATAAAAACATCTTCGCAAATAATGCAATGGTTTAGAATAAATTCGGCTAGCCAGCCATCATAAAAAAAGCTTTTAAGGGGCAACCTTAAAAAGGTAAATATATGCTGCCTTAGACTTTTTTGAAATTTTAAAAAGGGTCAATCCCATCATACTTGATTTTTACGTAACTTTAACCGTTTACGCGTAACGGAAGCTCTGAAACAGAATATTTTCCCCCGATTTCGCAACATTTTTCATTGTTGTTCCGCTCTTATAATTATTATTGAAATTTTAATATACCGAGTTTCACTAACACAATGAAGACTAATCAAATAACACTTCGCGTATCAAAATCCGTCAAGCTGTTCAGGCTGTAGGGCGTGCCAAAGAAATGGGCATGCACACGTTCGAAAAACATTACCCTCCGCTGTCAGGAAAAAACGTCGTTTTGAGTTCCGTAACGACACGAAACATGACACTCATTAACTGTCCCTATGACACTGAGAATGGCTGGTCGCGGCCTGGCTGCATTCGCGGTCACAGACAGGGGGCCATTCGCCTAACGGAAATGCTTTGGAAAACGCTAACGCTTACTATTTCATTTTGTTATTTCTAGCCGCCTGAGGTTTTCAAATGCCTCGCGCTCTTTTTTTTTCTTTTGCATTGGTAATAACAATATGAAAGAAAATGAGCGTGAGGTATTTAAAAACCTTCTTCGGTCAGAAATAACAAAATAAAATCGAAAGTGTTAGCGTTTTCCAAAGCATTTCCGGCTTTTATCCAAATCCGTTCAGTCGGTTTTGCGTGATTGAATAAACAAACCTATAAATACAAACATATAAACTTTCACACATAAATTTAAGTATGTTGTTTTTTTTTGTGTCTTAGGTACGATGTTGTTTTTCTAAAAAACATGACTCTATAACAATATGGATGATGACAGGGTTAGAGTAAACTAATTTTTATTTTGTTCGCAAGTAAAATTATCAAAAATAATGCAAACATTTATGTCTTTCTTTTGTCAATCATTCAAAAAATTACAATGATAGAGCGCGTCAAAGTTTGGGTGGGGGCTGACCATTATGCTAACGCGGCCCTGGTGGCCGTGTCGATTTTTCTCTAGCCATTCTTTCATTCGCCTGGATAGCGAAGAGTGCTGGTTCGAGTCCTATCTGCTGCCTGTTCCCAGAGGCGGATCTACCATATGGCTTTTTGGGCTTCAGCCCAGGGCCCCGTGGATTCTAGGGGCCCCCAGCTTAGTCAAGTCAAAGCCAAAAATAGACGATAATGCGAAAGAATCCATAATTTTATTAAAGTAAACAGATCGGAAATTCAAACAGGCAAACATCGCTGAATTTCCATAGCTGATATAATATTTTCAAAATAGATGTCTAGCTGAACTAGTGATTCACTAAAGAAAGAAAATTAATATTATTTTCTTTAAAGCAGTAGATTCAATGATTAGAAGTACATTCAATCTAGAAAAAATACATTGTTGAATGTAACCCCATTTATATTACCCCTAGAATGTGAGGAGCAAATTAAAGAATTTGCTATGTCTGCACTTTGCAGAAAGGTTGCTTTGTAATTTATCAATTTATTAACAGTAGTATAATACTAAGGCATAATATAATATAATATTTTTTTTTACTGTCTCTATTTTTTCTATACTTTGAGGTGGACCCCTAAATAGTATTAGCCCAGGGCCCCCGTAACTCACGGTCCGGCTCTGCCTGTTCCGCGTGGTTTTTTTTCTAGTAAAATTTTCTTTAAATCCAATACTACTTCATAATCGAAGTCCAAGTCGTCATCCCCATTAAGATAATTTTGTTCAAGTTGCGGTTTACCACTGAACATCTGCTGTGTTCACACTCAGCCAACACAATGAGACATTGACCAGTTGGACAAATTTTCATCTTCGTCCAAAGACAACAAAGGCTCAATTGCTTTGTCGCCTAAACTATGATACCGTTTCCTCAAATGAATCATTTATAGTTCCCATTAAGTAGTATCATTTAGTTTGTATTCTTTATTTGTTGACATTTAGAGATAGCTTATTTGTAGCTGCCATATTATCAATTTACTTTGTAGTAATAAACATAATTACGTAGCTAATTATTTATATCTGGGCCATATCGATATTGATTGGCGTTGCGACTGGCGTTTTTAATTGGTCTTCGTAACAATACCCAAATGCATGTTTATTTTCCATATTTTTATTTCATAGTTTATATTTCCATAATATAGTATAAAAATTTTCAGCTTCGAATAAATAGTGTGTTAAAAAATGGTTCAAAATAGTCA